GAAAGAAACACAGTACGTTGAGATCATATTGATCTATTCCTAACACAACTCATCCTTTTCTGTGTTGTATTTAAGAAAATTTGGTTTGCAAATAGTAAATCTCATGGCTGACTTTTTCGCTTCTTTGGTGGTTCATGTTATTTCAAGTCCTTCTGCTCTATTTTGCCTAATTTTGGTGCATTACACTGTAGGCACTATTTCAACTTTACATAGTTTTACTGGATAAATTTTCAGATTTGCCAACTGCTCATAAACCCATGAAGGCATAATGATGCTGCCTTTGATGTTTAGTTTGACTGAAAGTAAATCGTTTTTTTTTTTTTCAATTTTTTTTTAGGGTTTGTGGGTGAAGAAAGGTGGGGGTATCTTAGCATTTTCTGTTACTAGATTAATCGGATGCAGAATTAAGGATTTTAGAATTAGAGTAGAGTCAATGAAACAACAGATGATACTTCCTCTGTTTCTTTTTAGATTTATCACTTTCTAAATAAGGAAGTTTCAAATTAGATGCATCACTTTCTTTTTTATTTAATAAATTCTTTCTTATCTCTTTTATATCACATGAGTCATCTTCTTTATTTTTTCTCTATCCCTCTCATCTCCAAAAATTATCTAAGATTCTGTGTTTTGCAACTGATGCAACCACATAAAACGGAGGAAGTAATTATTGTACGTATATATTTTGAGATCAGTTTACTTAGAGGACGATACTACACACAATATAAACCCTCTGTTTTTTTAAATGTCCTAATTTGACCGGTTCATTTGCCAATGCAATTTGACCGGTACATTTGCCAATGCAATTTGACCAACGATATCTTAAATTATCAATAAGTATTATTTCTAAAATGCTGTTATTCATAAACTATACAATAAGACGATTCTATCAAGTACCAACATGACTACGTGTGATCGTATATATTAAGCATAATTGTTGGTCAGATTGGTGTTTATGTATAGTGCAAAAGTCAAACCGGAACGACTTAAAAATAGAGAGAAGTGGGGGGGGGGGGGAGTAGATATATAATCCTTTTCAGCAATTAGTTTGATACCATAATTACGAGACAATTGGAAGGGATGAAAGATACAGTTATATTTTAGTTATTCAATTTTGTTTGGAAATTACGACTTCACTGTTGAGCATGGTAGATTGAGACATCATCGAATTTATACATACAGTAAGGCAACAATTCCGCTTATCTAAGTTATACATGCAGTTGGTTTCAAAAAAAAAAAAAAGTTATACATACAGTTAGGTAAATGCCTCGGCCCGAGTTTGAAAAGTCTGAAGAGTTTGAAACAGAGAAAATATATTAATCTGTAGAAAGTTAGGTTAGTAAATTTTTGTCTTACTGTGTATATTTTGGTGATTTTTAATCCTTTTTTGTATATTAAATAAAGGATAATTTGCCAATTACTACCGCAAGTTAATACCACTTTGTAAATTACTACCGCAAATTAAAAAAGTTGTGAATTACTACCGCAAAAAATTTTAAGATGTTGCGATTACTACCAAACCCCCATTAAACCCAACTATGACGTCATTATAACCCTTTAACTCGTGTTTGACCATGGTTAAGGGCTTCAACCAGCCCCCCAAAAAAAGAAAATGGTTTAGGGGTATAATGACGTCATGGTTAAGGGCTTTAACCATGGGTTAAAGTGATATAATGACGTCATAGTTGGGTTTAATTCTGAGTTGCACTACATTATGGTAAAATTCTGGGTGTGCAGACTAATTACGGTAAAATGCCCTTACAAAATTTATTTTACATTTATATGTCAGCAAAAGTACAAAATAGGTCAATTCGCTGAAATATAGGGATTGGTTGACTTAGGTGTCTGGTGATTTAATGTATGCATCTGCCTCTATTTAAGTTGCAGTTGTAAGAGCTTGATTTTGGCTGCATTTCTGTGGTCTTTTGACTTGAACGAACCATGGTTGTTAAATTTATTCTTTTGTTTCAGTTGGTTGCCTGAGCATGTTACCTTATTGGCTCGCTTTGTTGGTGAACTGTCACCTGTGAGATCAACTGTTACTAAAGCTGTTGCAGAGTTTCGAAGGACTCATGCAGACACATGGAATTTTCAAAAAGATCAATTTACTGAAGAACAACTAGAGGTATCTGAGTTTTGTAGTTATTAAATTTCTACTGACTAGACCTTTCAACAGACATTGTTCAATACCCTCAAAAAATGATATTGTTTAATATTATTGTATCTTTCCCTAACCGCAAGCTTACATCTACTGTTCACCACATTGCAGGTTCTTGCTGATACATCATCTTCATCATCGTATTTTGCTTGAATTTTCACTCACAGAATTAGGCTATAGATGGGTAAATTATATTTATGCGTTCATAAATGTAGCTTATTTACATTTGTAGTATCAGGTTCAAGGTTAATGAAATACATTATTTCTAAAAGACTGGCTATGCAATACCCCCCTCCCCCCTCTTTTCTTTCTTTTTTCCCCTTTACTGTTTGAAAAAGTCTAGACCATGGGGTTCATTAGGTCATCGGATGGTAAATCCCACAAGATACTGTCGGTACTAAATATGCTGGATCCATTTCTAATCTCTTTTCCACCTTCAGACTCTTCTCCATTTTCATCTTCGAGTTTCAAGTGCCCTAGTTGGTCTCCTGCTGTGGAACACATGCTTTGGTTCCATGGTGATCCATCTTCTTCAGCAATGAAAGCAGATTGACCATACTGAAAAGCGGTAAATGCATTACAGCCCCCATTGACATGAGTTTGTGTTGCTCCTACAGTTGTTTCCCAAGGCTTGTTTGAGATTATCATGTCTGGCTGCTGTATTGCCCTTGATAATCCAAGTTTGATCTTCACTACGGTATCTTCCTTGGCGTCGGGCTTAGTACTCATACCATACGTGGCATTCATATTTCCTTGTGAACTGGTAGGTTGCAGCTGGAAGTCAATTCGCTTCTTGGTGAGGAGATGGAGCATTTCATCCTTGAAACACCCAAGGGCTGCCTCAGTTAGATTGGCAACCTGTGGGGGTCCTAGTGTGGTTGCAATCTCAGCCATTAGGTGAGAGAAAGACTTGTGCGTAACTGGATCAATTCCCATGCCTGTTAGCTTCTTCTTTAGCTTGGTGTTCCAATGGTTCTTGACATCATTATCAGTGCGACCAGGAAGTTGAGCAGCAATGAGTGACCATCTGAAAATTAAAAATTTCTGTAAGAGATTATTGCAATGGTGTGGGAAAAAGGACCTTTAGGATGTGGTTTGTGTTGGTACCTGTTGCCCACAACAGCATGAAGCTTCATTATGGTTTCTTCTTCTGCTTGGGAGAACTGGCCATGCTTAAGGTCAGGTCTTAGGTAGTTTGTCCATCTCAGCCTACAACTCTTTCCGCATCTTTGGAGACCTATGTATGTATGGATTGGCAATGTTTAATGAGAACTCGGTAACAATGATTGCAAATGCTATCCAGGGTTTGGTTTATTAAAAAAAAAAAAAAAAAAAAGCAGAGGAAAGATAGAGAATCTAACCAGCATTCTTAGGAATAAGACGCCAATTACGGGTGCCATGTTGGGCGATGTAAGAAGAGAGTTTGTTGTCTTCTTCAGGAGTCCATTGGCCTCGCTTTACGTTTTCCTTCTCGCAACAAGGAATTCTACCCATGGTTGATGTGTTAAATAATGGTGGGTTATATTGAAGAAACAGGGGAAGCTTGGAGGGGTAGCTAGTTTGGGAGCTGAATTAGTGATAATAGCAGTGAGTAATAAGAATTAAGGAAACCTAAAAAGAAAAAAGAGTAGAAGAATTGGTATCGAAAGATTAAGAAGTGTTTATGTTAATAAGAAAAAGGAAATTAAGAAATAGTACTATATAGGGTGTAGGAGAAGAGAGAGTAATAAGAAAAATGAAGGGAGGAGGTGAAGAAAAGAGAGCAGGAAAGGTGCATGAGTTGATTAAAGAATTCAACGCCATTGAGAGTGTGTGAGAGGAGAGGCTGGTAGCTCACCCACAAGACACCTGGTCAACACACACATCACACAACACAACACCCTTGTTTCTTTCCCTTTCTCTCTCTCTCTCTTTCTCTCTCCTTCATTTTTCTGATTCTGGGATTTTATGGATTTCTGGGATTCATTCTTGCACGAGTGTGTTAGTTGGCTTTCAGATCTCCCATCATACTTTCTCTCTTTCTCTTGCTTCCTCGTCCACACGTGCCGCGGTTATTTTGTCAGTTTTCTCCCTAAATACTTGGCGGGTAATCTTGGGCTGCCAATCATTACATAATGCTATTTCCTATTTCCTGCCTCCTTCAGATTACAGTAATACTTTTTTTGTTTGCTACGATTATATTGCTGCGAGTTTTATGCGTATATCACATTGCCCCTAAAATGCTTACTGTCCCATAAACATGAACATAAAAAAAAAAAAAAAAAAAAAAAAAAAAAACATGTCATGTATATGTATAACTAGGTTCCATTAGGCAAAGCTCAGCTTAACTTATTGTGTCAACTTGATTGTCCTGCACCTAATGTCTATTAGAGGTTTATTTGTCTTACAAACAGAATGCCCTATTACTTGTTGCTTAGGAGTACAAGTGTTTCATGGTCTGAAGTGAATAGCAGTCCTACCTTTTGCATAACAAATGCTCATTATATTCTTACTTAAAGCCGTAGATGAAAAACTAAGCCTCCGTTTGTTTGGACAGAATACACTTTCACCTAAAAATTATTTTCCTATAGAAAATGCGATTAAAAATTGATTATCCTTCATTTGGTATGGAAAACTCTAGAGTCTTCTGGACTACGGCCATATCAACAGCTCTGTCTAGTTGGTGTGCCAGAAGGAATGTACCTAGCTGCTACTCTCCGTCTTCCTCTGCTATCTTTTTTGACAGCATCCCTTCTAATTTGGAGGAAAATGGTTTCCCCTAATTGGAAAGTAAATATATCTCCCTGAGTTTTCCTTTTTTTTTTCATCCCGTACAATCCAAATAGAGAAAAGTTTGGATATGAGATTTCCTGTAAAACTCTTTACTCCAAAATAAATAGAGCTTATTTTACCACTTCAATTCACTACCTGTAAGAATCACCTTCATAAGATCTTAAAGCAAATCTTCTAGTGTTTCCTTTCACTGATCACTACTAAGGTAACTCTTAACTTAATTTTGCATTTACAAGACCACCAATAGATCCCGATAGAGCAAATATTGTAACCACTAAGCAAACATATGAGAAAGTTCTTAGAGCAATCCACCATCCTGTCCATGCTTCAATATTTCTCTGCTTCAAGTACATTTCGACAGGGAAATATATTGACAGAGGCCAAAAGATGAGAGCTCCAAGGATCCCCAAGACTTGGTTGAAATAAGGGAATGCTATTGCTAAGATGGTAGTGGATGCAACATAAGCTGTTCGAATACACAGCCTGTAAAGGTTCACTCTTAGAGATGGCAAAAGTGGAAGCTTCAATCTGTGTGAATGGTGGACAAATTCATTGTCAGGGAACTTCCGAGCAAACCATCTATCAACAGCTGCAAAGAGTGGCTGGCTGAATACCTACGTAGGCAGAAAATGCAATTGTATGATCAATATCTGATAAATTTAATTAGGTAATTTAAAAACTTGGAATGTGATATACCTGATATCCTCCAACAAGGTGAAGAACAATGCAAGCATTAGCAATGTCAATCAGCCAGTATGGCTCATAGAATCCTGTCATAAGATTTCCGGGAGTATCAACTCCGAAAGCAGCATAACCAAATCCTCCACAAAGGAGATAAAAGAAGGTGGTCAATGCAACAGATATTGTAGAAGCCTTCTTCATGGTCTCATTTTCTGATGGGGGAGACTTCAGAGTATCCTTCAGTTTAAATCAGATCCAAAAGAGTTAAACTTTTGTTCAAGCCTTGGATTATACTTCTTATACCTCACATATCAAACAGATTACAGGAAAAGAAAAAAAAAAAAAGGCAAAGTAGCACACCTGAATCTCAATAAGAATCAAGGAGTATGGGTAGGCAAATGCTATATCACCTACTCCTTGTGCAACCAGCCATACTTTTTCCATGACAGTTGCGGTGGGTATTCCTTGTATGCTCCCCTTAATCACACCATTTTCTGGAGCAATTAACAGTTCCAAATTACTAAAGTACGAAGAATTCTTCACAGTATTTCAAGAAAACTAAGCTAGCATGTACAAAGTTGTGTGGTAGTCTGATAATGTACGTACCAATAACACGAGCGGTTCCAAGTCCGAGTACAATGAGGGAATAGGAGAAAGACATGATAGCAGCAACTAATGAAAGCCATTTAATGTCATGCATATTTGGTATCTGGGACATAAAAATCTGTAGAAAGCCAAAGATTAACATGTAGTAGGCATCCCCAAAATTGCAGGGTGCCTGATGCCCATGCTTGTGATAACAGTTTGATTCCTGTATTGCTCTGCCAATTAAGATGAAGACAGGTGTAAGATGATACTTGAGAAACAGAAAAGCTGAAACAGTATGTATGCTAATGGTAACAAGTACCTGATGCTGATAGCAGAAGTGATAGTATAAGCAATTCCAATCCCATATAAGTTAATATGAACAAAGAAGCCGCATAGCCAGGCCCTGGTTTCTCCCAAATTAGAGTAAACAGCTTCAAGGTAAGACGGGTTTCGGACAGGGCCGTGTTCAGGGTCAGGAGACCTGTAACAGTTACACAGGAGAAATGCAGAAAGGAGTGTAATGAAGGCGAAGACCAGCATTGCAATGGGACCTGCTATCCAACCCAACTGACTCATACTCCATGCCAAAGATAGTACTCCTGACCCGATCACTCCTGTTATTATGTGTGCTACTGCAGACCATAAAGTCCCTGCAATTTTTATTTTTTTTTTAAATGATCACTTGATGAAATATATATATGCAAATTGTTCAACGATAATAAAAATTGATATATATATGCAAATTGTTCAACAATAATAAAAATTGATAAAGTAATTACCAGTCCTCTTGTGGGGATGTCGTGTTTCCGATGATGGTTGGAGTAATAAAGGGGTGTTTTTACTATCTCCATCTTCTCCCATTCGATCAGATTTTGTTGGGGATACAATTGAATGTAAATGAATTATAGAATAGGCCTTCGGATCAATTGCTATTACTCGTGTTTAGAGTGATGAAAATTTGAAACAAAATATAGTACTCCGTATTACCCTTTTTTTTTTTTTCCGGAGAATTCTAGTGAAAGCAGGAAACGCAACAACTCATAAACTTGTATCAAAAAATGCCTCTCTCCAATGATAGAAATTAGATTTTAGTTACGTGTATTATTTTTGTTTCAATGAGTTACGTTAGCTATTTTATAACTTAATCTTATTATTTAGTACTCACAACACTTGTAGAAAGCAAGTCAAGTATTCCAGTTTTTTTGGGAATATATTACTTGTCCATTATGATTCCAGCCATTCATTAGACCACAAATGTCTGTCGTTTAAGACTGCTAATTAACCTTTCTTCCACCATACACACTTTAAGAATATTCTCTGTTGCCTTTATACAGAGTACTACAGAGTATTTCATATTTTTTTTGGTGCTGCTTATTTTATACTCCGTAAACCTTTTGTCTTTTACAAATCGCGACAAAAATGAGACATGTAAATCAATGACATTTAGTTAATACAAGTTGCGATCTATACCATTAATGATACATAAATACAGATTAAATTAATGACATCGTCTATGAAGTATACTCGCTCAAAGTTATCACAATGATAAATAAGGGAAAAGAAAAGATGAACAAGTTAGTACATCCCTATGATAATCAAATGAACAACAATCTATTCTTTGTGTTAATAGTGTTTAAATTATGGAGATCGGGTTAACGGATAGATAGATAGATGAGAATAGAACCATTGTCTTCATTCTAATTTGGCACTCACAAGCCCTTCCACTGATCCAACTAATGCAACTACACTAACCAGTAAGCAAATAACACTAAATGTTCGGAGCAAGATACCCTTTGTTGTCCAAACATTCATCTTTTTCTGGACAATGTACATTTCTACTGGGAAATATATGGCCAAGGGCCAAAAACCTATGGCCCCCAGCAACCCCAAAACCTGGTTGAAGAACGGGAATATCATTGCTATCCCTACTGTCGATGCAACATAAGCTGTTCTGAAACACAGTCTGAGTAGGCTCACTTGAAGATCAGTGGCCAACAGCGGCAGCTTCACTGAATGGAAATCATTCACAAACCCGCTATTGGGAAACTTTTTAGCAAGCCCTCTCTCCACAAATGCAAATACTGGTTGACTATAAACCTACAACATACCACGGACAACTGAATCTCTCTTTAGAGTTCTTGATCATTGCCATAATTCTATCACATTTAGTGTTATGTCATATGTATATCTGATATACAGAATTTCAATAAAAAGTACCTGATATCCTCCGACAAGATGAACAACTATACAGGCGTTGGCAAAGTCAATGAGCCAATAAGGTTCGTAGAATCCAAACCCTGTCAATATATTCCCAGGTGTATCATTCCCGAAGGCTGCATAACCAAAGCATCCACAAGAGAGGTAAAAGAAGGTGGTGATCAAGACAGCTGCCATTGAGGCCTTCTTCATTGTTTGATTTTCCGGTGGAGGGGACTTCAATGTGTCCTACACTCCCAACCCACAGTATTACATCTCATTAATTAGTAAAAAACATATATTCCTTCATTTGTATTTTGTAGTCACTTATCAGGTACAAATCAACCTGAATTTCTAGAACAATGATTGCATAGGGGTAGGCAAAAGCAATGTCTCCAATTGCTTGAAATGATAAGCTCAATTTCTTCAGAGTAGAACTAGCTGGAACTCCACTAATACTTCCCTTAATTTCTCTATTTCCTGCACTTTCCATGAATTAATATGAGAAAAATTTTGCAATGTCTCTGAGACTCTGGGTAGGAAAGCCAGCCATGCACTGCTGAATTAAAAAATGAATGAAATATATGGGATTGATTACCAATCATGGTAGCAAAGCCGAGGGCTAATCCAATGGTTGAGTAGGCAAATGACATGATGGCAGCCAAAATAGAAAGCCATTTCATGTTGTGTGTTGATAAGTATATTAGGTGACTCGTACTTCGTAGCTTTGTCCGCCCGATCGGGCGGACATTGCCCGGTCTGACCGGGCGGAAGAAGAAGAGGTGCCTGGCAAATTCGTTGAAGAAGCTGCTCTCGCGCCCGACCGGGCGAGCCTTCGCCCGACCGGGCGAGCCTTCGCCCGATCGGGCAGACCTTGCCCGGTCTGACCGGGCGGTGGGGGTTGGATACGTTGAAGCATTCGTATGGAGTTTTCTTCTCGCGCCCGATCGGGCAGACCTTGCCCGGTCTGACCGGGCGGAGAAGGAAAAATACGGAACGCGGATTTTGCGGTTTTAGGTTATCTTATTTTATTATCTTTTTGCCCAAGTATCTTTTAATTAGGGATTAATATAAAACCTCCCTAATATCAGTATTAGGGTGAAGAGAGACAGAGTGAGAGCCGTTCTTGAGAAATACAAGAATCATCTTTGTAATCTTTGCAGTTTATAGTGAAATCATTCGATCTCGGTGCCCGTGGACGTAGCTATCACATCGATAGTGAACCACGTAAATTCTTGGTGTTGTTCTTATTGTTTGCATTGAATTTCTTTATTGTTTTCTTGTTTGTTTTCGACCTTTGCTTCCGCTGTCGCACAACAATTGGTATCAGAGCTCAGGTTCAATCCTTGGAGAGTTTCTTGAAAATAACAATGGCAGGAGATTCAACAATAAGAATTGAGAAGTTTACCGGGAAAAATAGTTTCGGGCTATGGCAAATTAAGATGAAGGCTCTGTTAAAACAACAGCAGATATGGCGTCCGTTGGCTCCAAAGAGTACTACTTCGGAGTCAGGAGACGGACCGACTGACTCGCAGTTAGAAGTTATGGAAGAGAAGGCACACTCTACCATATTACTTAGTCTTGATGATCAAATCATCACGGAGGTGGCTGATCAGGAAACGGCGGCTGGATTGTGGCTGAAGCTGGAGTCATTGTATATGACTAAGTCGTTGACCAACAAATTATTACTGAAACAGCGGTTGTTTAGCCTCCGGATGCAGTCAGGTACTTCCTTACGGGAACATCTAGAAAAACTTAACTCTATTTTGCTTGATTTACGTAATTTAGATGTTAAAATTGATGATGAGGATGCTGCGTTGATTTTACTTGTATCTCTACCGTCTAGCTTTGAGAATTTTGTAGAGTCTTTTGTTGTTGGTAAGGATTCTATAACCTTAGAAGAAGTGAAGGCAGCACTTCATACTAGGGAACTCAGAATGAAAGCTACGAGTGATAATGGGGATAATGGTAGTGGGTTGTTTGTTAAGTCCGGAAAGTCTAAAAAGAATAAGGGGTTTAACAAGGGGAACAATGCTGGGTCGGGTGCTGGAAACGGCAAGGATGGATCTAGTAAAACTACTACTAAAACATGTTATTACTGTAAAGAACCGGGTCACTTTAGGAATAATTGTCCGGTGAGGAAAAACAAGTCCCAGGCTGCTGTAGTTGAAGAGAAACCGAATGAGAGCTATAATTCAGAGGAAGATTTAGCATTAGTCAGTTCTGCTAGGTCTGATGATTTATCTGATAACTGGGTTCTAGATTCGGGGTGTTCGTTCCATATGTGTCCACGTCGAGATTGGTTTGATACATATGAACCTCGCAATGGGGGTATGGTTATAGTCGGTAACAATGCTCCATGTAAGGTCACAGGTATTGGTTCCATGAGGTTGAGGACTGTTGATGGGCGGAGGTTAACTTTGACTAATGTACGGCATGTTCCTGCTTTAGGAAAGAATCTGATTTCATTGGGTACCCTGGATGACTTGGGGTACAATGGTGTGTTTTCAGATGGGGAGTTGTGTATTTTCAGAGGTTCTGAGTTGGTACTTAAGGGTATCAAAAGGAACACCCTCTATGTTTTTGAGGGTGTTACACTGCCTAGTTCTGCGGTTTGCGCATCTGTATCTCACCAGGAGATGACTAAGATTTGGCACATGAGGCTTGGTCATATGGGGGAGAAGGGGATGCAGCTATTGTCCAAGAGGGGTCTTCTATCCGGGGTCAAGGTTGCCAACCTTGAATTTTGTGAGCATTGTGTGTTTGGTAAGAAACACAGGTCAAAGTTCAGCAAGGGTGCTCACATTACTGATGCAGTGCTCGATTACATCCATTCAGATTGCTGGGGTCCATCTAGAGTTGAAGGTATGGGAGGTTACCACTATTTTGTGTCATTTGTTGATGACAAGTCCCGATACACATGGCTTAGGTTGCTTAAGTCAAAGGATGAGGCCTTCAAAGTTTTCAAGCAATGGAAAGCTTTGGTGGAAAATCGACAAGGAAGGAAGATCAAGAAGCTACGAACGGACAATGGGCTAGAGTTTTGCAAAGACGAGTTTAATCAGTTCTGTGCAGATGAGGGTATAGGTCGGCATCATACTGTCAGGAAGACACCACAGCAGAACGGTGTAGCAGAACGGGTTAATCAGACACTGCTAGAGAGAGTTCGATGCATGCTCTCTAATGCAGGGCTTGGGAGGAGGTACTGGAGTGAAGCTGTGTTAACAGCTTGTTATGTCATTAATAGGGGTCCTCATTCTGGAATTGATTCCAAAATTCCGTTTGAGATCTGGAGTGGTAAGTTGCCTAATTTTTCGAATTTGAAGATTTTTGGTTGTGTTGCTTATTATCATGTTATTGAGGGTAAGCTGGATCCACGAGCCAAGAAGGGGTGTTTTGTTGGGTACGGGGATGGTGTGAAGGGGTTTAGAATTTTTTCACCTTCGGAGGGTCGGGTCATTCTTAGTAGGGATGTTACTTTCGATGAAAACACCATGTATTCAATTAAAAATGCAGAGATTTCAGATTTGAGAAGGGAAGGAGACAATTTATTACAGACAGATGGGGTACTTGAGGTACATCAGTCTACCATTGCTGATTTACCTCGGGTACAATATATTGATGATGATGCTGATGTTCCAGTGCCGGGTACTCCTGAACCTGAGATTACTCCTACTCATTCTAACTCTGGGGATGAGGTGGAGCAATCTAATCAGGGGTCATCTAGTCAACCTGACACCATTCTTGAGATGCCTAAACGAGTTATCAAGAAGCCTGTTAGATTGATTGAAGAGATGGAGGGAAGAAATTGCTGTGTTGATGCGATGACAGGTTATGCATTGAGTGTAGCTGATGATGTAGAGTCATTTGAACCTGCCACATATAAACAAGCAATTAGTTGTAGTGAGTCTGCGCAATGGCTTGCCGCAATGGGTGAAGAGATGCAGTCTCTTTACAAGAACAGAGTGTGGGAACTGGTAAAAGTACCGGAAGGGAGGAAGCTTGTGGGTTGTAAATGGATTTACAAGAAGAAAGAAGGGTTGTCGGAAACTGAGCAAATACGTTTTAAGGCTAGGCTAGTTGCTAAGGGGTTCAGTCAGGTAGAAGGGGTTGATTTTGTTGAGATATTCTCACCTGTGGTTCGACATACTTCTATCCGTGTGTTATTGTCAATTGTAGCACATTTTGATCTTGAGCTGGAGCAGTTGGATGTTAAAACGGCTTTCCTTCATGGCGATTTGGAGGAGGAGATTCTGATGAAGCAGCCCGAAGGATTCGAAGTTCCTGGAAAGGAACACTATGCCTGCAGATTGCTAAAGTCATTGTATGGACTTAAGCAATCCCCCCGACAGTGGTACAAAAGGTTTGATTCTTTTATGGTTTCACAAGGTTTTGACAGGAATTCATATGATTGCTGTGTGTATCATAGTAAGCTGGATAATGGTTCCATGATTTATCTTTTGTTATATGTTGATGACATGTTGGTTGCCACAAAGAATAAATCTGATATTGCTAGATTAAAGGAGATGCTTAACTCGGAGTTTGACATGAAAGACTTGGGTGCAGCTAGGAAGATTTTGGGTATGGAGATCTACAGGGATCGGGCTAGAGGTAAGCTTTTCTTGACTCAGAAAAGCTACATTGAAAAGATTCTGTCTCGTTTTGGGATGGAAAAATCGAAGCCTATAAGTACGCCAACTACTGTTAGTTGTAAGTTGTCTTTGTCTATGTCACCTCAATCAGAGGAGGAGTTGTCTTATATGTCTAGAGTTCCATATGCAAACGCGGTTGGTTGTTTGATGTATGCTATGGTCTGTACTAGGCCGGATATTGCGCATGCTGTTAGTGTTGTAAGCAGGTTTATGGCTCGACCTGGGAGGGAACACTGGCAAGGGGTGAAAAGGATTTTTCGCTACCTGAGAGGGACAACTGATATTGGTCTTGTGTACGGGAATGGTAGGGAATGCTTGGTCACTGGGTACAGTGATTCTGATTATGCAGCTGATGTGGATACCAGGAGGTCTGTGACTGGTTATGTGTTCACTTTGGGTGGTTCTGTGGTTAGTTGGAAGTCTACATTGCAGTCATCAGTTACGTTGTCAACTACTGAAGCTGAGTATATGGCTTTAACTTCTGCAGCTAAGGAGTCTATTTGGCTCAAAGGCCTAGTAGGTGAACTGGGTATTGCACAGGATTTTGCTACAGTATATTGTGATAGTCTAAGTGCGATTTGCTTAGCTAAAGATCAAGTACACCATGATCGGACGAAGCACATTGATGTCAGGTATCATTTCTTGCGTACTGACAAGAGGATTAAGGTGAAGAAGATTGGGACTGCTGACAACCCGGCTGATTTCTTCACTAAGCCTGTTCCGTTTAGCAAGTTTAAACATTGCTTAGACTTGCTAAATATTGATTACTACGTGATGTAGTAGGCCCTGAGGGGCGAAGTTGGGGAGCTCCTGGTGTAGGTGTGTTGGCATTAAGGTGGAGCTTGCCCGGGGCTTGTGATGCAGGTGGAGCATTATGAGTTGTTATACTTGGAGACGAGTATGTGATGGGTCTTGGTTGAAGACTTATCGGGATGTATGGCTTATGCATGAGTCCTGCATCGGGTTTGGCTTGAGATGTTTTTCACTATGTCTTGATGGGGTCGTTTGCTGACTACGAGTTCTCGTCAAGGTGGAGATTGTTGATAAGTATATTAGGTGACTCGTACTTCGTAGCTTTGTCCGCCCGATCGGGCGGACATTGCCCGGTCTGACCGGGCGGAAGAAGAAGAGGTGCCTGGCAAATTCGTTGAAGAAGCTGCTCTCGCGCCCGACCGGGCGAGCCTTCGCCCGACCGGGCGAGCCTTCGCCCGATCGGGCAGACCTTGCCCGGTCTGACCGGGCGGTGGGGGTTGGATACGTTGAAGCATTCGTATGGAGTTTTCTTCTCGCGCCCGATCGGGCAGACCTTGCCCGGTCTGACCGGGCGGAGAAGGAAAAATACGGAACGCGGATTTTGCGGTTTTAGGTTATCTTATTTTATTATCTTTTTGCCCAAGTATCTTTTAATTAGGGATTAATATAAAACCTCCCTAATATCAGTATTAGGGTGAAGAGAGACAGAGTGAGAGCCGTTCTTGAGAAATACAAGAATCATCTTTGTAATCTTTGCAGTTTATAGTGAAATCATTCGATCTCGGTGCCCGTGGACGTAGCTATCACATCGATAGTGAACCACGTAAATTCTTGGTGTTGTTCTTATTGTTTGCATTGAATTTCTTTATTGTTTTCTTGTTTGTTTTCGACCTTTGCTTCCGCTGTCGCACAACATTGTGGAAATCAGGTATCTGAGACATTATGATCTGAACACATCCAAACAGCAGCATGTAAATGCCATCTCCATAAGAGCAAGATGCTTGGTGTCCTTGTTTGTGGTAGCAGTTTGATTTTTGAATTGCTCTGTATCATTGGATTTAATTCAAGTGGATTAGAGACTCAGAGTGAAATATAATATAAAAAGAGGATAGACTAGCTTGCTTAATTAGACTCATTCAAGAAAAAATATGAACTAAAAATTAATTAAGCTAATAAATGTAAAACATCCTTTTTCAATGATTCATAGCTCTATTCCCCTTGCTTCTGACAAAGGAAATTGATCTAAGAGTAAAAAAGAAAAGGTCGTCCCTAAGCATGAAAAGATTATATGTTAAAATTAGGAAAGTAAGGAGTGTTGATTTGTATACCTGATGCTGATTGAAGTAGTGATTACATACGCAACAGCGGCACCATACAAGCTTAGATATTGTAGAAAACCACAGAACCATAGCTGTTTCCTTCCTGTACAGTCACTTTAAGACAATCAATGCATCTATTTTATTTTTTTGGTAAAAAAGGTTTGGATGAGGTAGGGTATAATATTTGGATACCAAGTATGGTTGAAACAGCATCCATGTAGGATGAGTTGCGGACACCAGTAACAGGGTTGGGAGACCTGTAACAGTCAGATAGGAGTGATGCAGATACGTAAGTAACGAATGCGAAGCAGAGCAAAGAAAGCGGGCCAACAATCCATCCTAGTTGGGAGGTACTCCATGCCAAGGAAAGAACACCAGATCCGATAACAGCCGTTATTATATGAGCAATGCTCGTCCACAGAGTTCCTGTTAAGTTGGGGATAATTGCAGACTTAAGAGATAGACATTACTGAAGGCAGAGATAGAAATAAGAGTGGGATGGGATTGTAAGATTATTACCGGCTCTCTTTGGAGCATCATCATCACGATCAAAAGAGGAAGTGATGAAGGTGGAAGTGGAAGATATCTCTAGAGAAGTGCTTTTTGCCATCTGATGAATGAGTTATTCTTATTATTATTAATCATACAAATATAACAACTAGTATGGGGAATGGGATTGCAACTTGGGAGTGTGGTTGGTGATAAGTCTCAATCTCCGATCCCACTGCACGTAAGGTCCATATTTGAGCATGTACTCGTAACAATTAACAATTATTGGTCCTGTCTGCGTACATATACTACGTACGTATTACTCAACTTTTACTGCTGTCTGCCTTGGCCTCAAATTTGAAAACGTTAAAGCATATATACAGAATAGTGTTGAAAATTCACTGAAATGGGTTGTCAGCTGCTCAACCTACCAAATATAAGCCAAACGGATATACTCTAACATGCAATATCATAATTATACTTGGCTGTACAAGGGTACTGTTTAAATACTTGGTTATAGATTGAAATTTAAACATAAAGGAGCAAGGGTACTGTGACAGAGTCCACAAATTGTCTTGTTTCATTATTTGAATGACATTTTGCTAATTGTTGGAATAGGAATGCACATGTATAAATTGTTATTTTGGACTTTCCGCATAACATAAGCATCAAAATACACTACAAAATTAGGAATTGTCCTACACAAACACGATACGAGGCGCTTATTACTTGATATACTTTTTCAAATTATCTAAAAAATTCAACCAGTTATTTATTTGCATTATCAAAACTTGAAAGCAAAACATAAGTGAAGATTGTTGATTAAAGTAAATAAACTATTGACAAGAAAGAAAACAAAAACTGATAATCCAATTGAAGAAAACAAAAACTCGATATTCCAATTAACCAAATTACCAAAATGTAAGTGACATATAATCTATCCCTTGATACCCCTTACTTCTTTTTAGGGGTTTTTGTCTTCTTAACCTTTTGCGCTTGTTGTTTCTTTTCTGTAGCATCAGCATCAGTAGCAGCCGTAGGAGGAGTTGCATCGTATTCGTCAGGGGTGACATCCTCTTTCGGTTTCTCCAAAATACCTTCTTCACTATCTTTATCTCCATCCTTGTTGCCAACTGTTTCCTCCTCTTCATCCTCCTCGTCGTCCTTCCGCTGCTGTTTTTGCTGCAGATACTGTGCAGCTGCAACAGCCGCGTCGTCGTCCTCCTCTGTCATCATAGTATCTTCTGCTTTCCCAGCACCGTTACCATGTATGTAAAGGCGATGGCGGATGGAGCGAAACACCCAATTTAAGGTAGATATGCCAGCCAAAGCCATGACAGCTGCAAGAGTAAAGCCTGCAATACAAGTGACCAAAATGAAAGTTGGTATTATCAATAGAGGACTACATATAACCATGATTGGGAACCCAATCGCTGTCAGACTCAGTGTTACTGCCATTGTTATCCCCATTACCACCAACAGTGGACCTCCTACCACCACCGCTGCTGCCGTCGCACCAACCACTCTTCTTAACCACCCAAATGATGCAGTCTTGTCTTCATCATAACTACTAATTGGTATCATCCTTTGTTCATCACTTGCTGCCATTTCCATTCTACTTTTGCTTTCTTTCTTGTAAGTTGTAACAAACAAACTCTCACAGGTAACTAAATACTACCAAGTTATACTTGTGTTGTGAGTTGGTGGCTTGATGCATGCAAGTTTCAGCTAAAAGCTAATGCAGCAACCCTTGAATATATATTTATTTATTTATTTTATGATATAATGAATATATAATAGGCAGCCTTTTGTAAGTGACAACTGACAAGTGGTATATACAAACATGCATATCGCAGGTCTCCGTGTCATTTAACCCTGAATACGTGGGCATCTAATGCACCCCTTTTATGCATGCTCCCTTGTCTTTTACTTTCCAGTGCTTTTTATTTAATCTTCTCTGCATATACGGTGTGTTGCTCCTAATTTGGTTAAATTTATTTTGACAACTTATTTGAGTAATGTAAGAGGGGAAAATTCTAGTTTATTATTATAATAATTTCAAACTTTGTGTACACCAGTATACGTTAACAACAATTTAACTATGAGTGAGTGACAGTAATAACATAATATGTTTATTCTTATTTATACCAAGTATTAACGGAAACATACCCTCAGTTTAGTATTTGTATTCAATTCCAGGGAACAGACTGCAAAATATCCTTAGCTATTAAGATGCAACACACACTTTTTTTAATGCAAGGTTTAGATAGACATGTCAGAATTGGAAAGATTAAGAACAAGTTACTCATATAATAACTCAGCCAAATTCCATGTACAATGATTTCTTGAATTGACCCTTTGATCTATAGGGTTTGCTTCATACCAATTTCCTAACTAGCAGATGTTGCAACTTATCGAACCTGACATTACAAACTAATCTGATGCTGTCCTTGAAGATTTTCATCGTCCATTGCATAATCTAGCAGCATCCTCAACAAATTTTTAGCTGAGATCTAGTCATTCAATCTTTTTTCATGGAAAACTGATTTCCCAGGAGCAACATAAAGATCTCCCGTCATGTATGTAATGCTGAGTACAACAATTATTAAATTTTTTTGTTTACAATTCAATTCTGATATTCCAGGGGTACAATTCCTTTTCTGGAGTTCTTAATGTTAAGGTCAGTAACCCAGAGGCCTTCTCGTAATTAAAATCTATTTCTTCATCATCTACGCAAAACTTTTTTGGTGGGACTGAGGAATATGCCCCAAATGTACCACAACCGCGAGCTTTCAGGCTAATAACAGCGCTTCCTTCTGCCTCATATTGTAAGGCCTTAACTGCACCTCCAGAGTTAAACATTTTAGTCAGCCCAATTGGGGCAAAAATGACACCATTTGACAACTGCTTTGCAGGAACCACTGTGAAAACTTCATATTCTTTGGCTTTCAATGTGACAGGAAGTGATGCATTTTCAGGAAGATATACAACCTCTCCTGCAATAAAATTATTTCAAGTAGAATTGCATAAGCCATCTCACCAATTAATTGACTTGTACAACTCTCAAGGTAAACCATGAAACTGATTTCTATAAAAAGCATACCTCTAAGATGACTATATACAACACAATCTCCATTCCATCCAGCATCAACAATCTTATTAAGATAATTTACATCACGAGCTCTAATGACATCAGTAACTGCATCAGGTTGTTCGTCATGGATTACATTTGTCTTTCCATCCTTACACCAACCAGCTCCTTGGCAGTTGAAAGCCCCAATCACCCCAGTGTAATCATTCATGTTCCATATTTTCAAAAGACTTCACAGGAAAAAGTCATTAAAATACAGACAACAGAACAATGAGAAGAAAACAGGATCACGTACATTTAATATGTTAGGATTTGCCTCAAGGTGGCAGCAAATAAATATTACGGAGTACCTTTTACCGTCTCTAGTAGGATCAGTGAACAAGCTATCCCTGGTGGGTCTCCCAGGCAGTTTGGCCCTCAATATAGAGCCATCAGGAAGTACAAGCTTTCTCAGTAAATCAAAATCATGGTGTCCAGGTTTGTCACTGGATAAATCAACCAGGAAATTATAAATATAGTCATATGGAAAAAATCTAGACTGATAAAAAAGAGTGATTGCTATTCAATTGATTCAAAAAGCAATAACATACCTAACATAGATTGCACAACCACCGACTGCACGAGCTGCTCCATGGTATTCAGCCATAGGGTGCAAGCTCTGCCATGGAAAATTGCAATTTCAAGTTCAATCCAACAAAAATTGAGGATAACAGAAAGAATAGGGGAAAAAGAATCACACTGCATGAACTTACATGAAACATATCCCAGTCTGGCTGCATAAACTCCCCTAGGAAAACTGTATTGTATGCAACTGAAGCAATGTGGATGGTATGTGACGCTGGATCTCTAGGCCAGAAATCATCAGATGCTCTAATAATTGCGGCCCGCTTGGCACTGAAACAGCAATGAACTAAATCAAAATGAATCCTAAAGAAGAAAGACGAAAGGACCTTAAAGAAGATGAAAGTAAAGACTACGATGAGTACCTGTATAAGCCATCAGTGTTGTGGCTCATGCAAGATATTATTCCATTATCGGGGAAATTCTTGGTAATTGAAGTCTCTAAGGCCCTGTGATATTTTCTAGATAGACTGACTCTTCCACCATGCCCAGCACCAAGTGTTTCAAGGACACTTTGGACGTCAACCTTCACCCCATCAATACCAGCTGAGGCAAGGTATGAGTGAAGCTCATCATAGAAGCTGAAAACCTTTTCAGGATTCATAAGCCCAAGTCCATTTTTCATCATGGTTACCAAGGAATTATCCCGATAATCCACATGCTCATTAGATTGAACACCTGGGGATGTTTTTGGGTAGACTAACTTGGATTCGTAATGTTCCATATCAGCAACATCGGGTTTAACACCTCCCCAGTACCCTGTTATTGCATGCCACACATAAACATACCTATAAAGCAGCACAAACTCAATGAATTTTAGAACTGAATAAGGGATTCTTATAAAAAATACAGAGTAGATAGGATGTGAAATAGAAATTGTACATACTTAATCTCATGATCTTCTTTAATTTCAGTTATAATGTCACGGAAGCCATCCTCCACTCTAGATCCTTCTTTACCACTCTTCTGAAATTTGTGATTCTCCTTTATGTTAGTCAGCCTATTAGCAAAACTGCAAAGAAGAAGAAAAATATACATGTTAAAAAGCAACAAGTTGCAGTCAGACCAAAGTGCCCAACTGACAAGCAAGGACACAATACAATAGGTACAAAAATAAGAATAAAAGAAAGAATGAACACTCACTTGGCACAATTATCTTCTTCACATGGAACACTATCGGAATCCATGGCTACCGATTGCCATCCATCATCAATAATAATAAACTTTGGAGAAACTCCACCCTTTTCAAAACTAAATATAAAGAATTGAGGAATACAATCAGTTGACAGATCTACAATTCCAGTCAAGCAAATCATGTCATAGGCACTTAGCTAGGGAGTGTAAAATAGTTAATATCTTTGTAATCCTTCCTTGACTCCTTGTGAGGTAACATTGGTATCAAATGCATCCCAAGTACACCAGCCAAACCAGTTGAGAATATC